CCCGTTTCTTGGAGTCATGCTCAGAGGGCGTTAGCCACTCATCTGGCCGGCACTTTCTTGAATGTGCCTCAAGAGTGGCCACCTTTGCCGTGAGGCCATGACGGGTGTCAACCAGACATGATATGCGGACTACATCATTGTCGTCAAACACAGCTTTTCCTGTGTTTGTCTTTTTTTAGGGGACCCTCCCCCAAAAAGGAAGATGCGTGTGCTTTTTTCTTTTGGTTTTCCTTTTCAAACCAACCCAAAATGGTACCCTCAAAGAAACAGAACAGGGGACCCTGGTAGTGTGTTTTTTGCACGTTTTGAGGCGTGCAGTCTTCTCATGGGTCAGCCATGTCAGTTGCGCTTGATCTAACACCAACAGAGTCTTTCTTTAGAAAGGCACACCCTGGCAAAGGTTGGCTACGGGCCCATGAAAGGTGCCCCGCCGTGAGAAGTGGTAGCGCGCTATGTACAAAGGATGCGAAGGCTTGTGGCGTTTGGCCGGATGACCGAACGAGGGCTCGCAAGCTCCGATCTTGGAGTTGGTTGGATTCATTACTCGTCAAAATGCCATGAGTCTGTTTCGAGCCTTTTTTTGGGAAGGTCTTCCGCCCAGACCCAGGAGCCAGAGAGACCAGGCGTTGAGCAAATACGGAATGCTCGCAAGGCTTTTCCATGCGACTGGGAAGGGGATGGTGAACCAAAGGCAGGCATACTGTTTGACAAAATCCTGCACCAGTTGGTAAGTGGTTTATGCCAGTATTTGTAGGGTTTCATCCCATCCCAACTGGTGTAGGATTTTGTACATCCACAGTAGGATGTGTGACAAGACAGATGTTCTTTCAGATTCAGAGTAGTACAGCGGTGTGGGACATTCATCTTGAACACAAGAGGCTTAGTAAAGGGATCGCAACTGTGTTTCCCTCCCCCTGACCTGCTCTCGGTAAATCCTTGTCTTGTGGCAAAAGACTGCGTTGAAGCCAAGGTTAGGCCCAGGCTTGGCCCCCCAACTTTCCGCCTTTGCTGCGCTCCGCCAGGCCAAGGAGCAATTTGCGCAGGCCAAGCAACAGCTGGAGGCGGCCGAAGAGCAAGCCTGCGACAAGGAGGCGGGAAGGGATTGCAGCGCGCGCGCGGCCCGCGCACCGGGGCAAGAGTTGCGTGCCAAGAAGTCGGTTTCCTTGTCAAAGGAGGGTTGCCCAACTTGCGAAGTTGTGTCAAGAAGTGTTGCTCGGCTCTCCACCCCAGAGGCAATTTCCCAGGGCTGGTATCTCCACATCTGGCCGGTTGAATCGGGCTGAAACCCGTTGGAGGGAACTCAAAAAGCCAGTTGCTTACAATTGGCCGCACCCAGAATTCCCAGTTTTGTTGGATCATGCACAAGTTGAATGACCGGCCGCATTGGTCTTGAAATGCTCCACTGTTGATAGGATCATCCCTCCTTATTATTCATTGATTCATGTTCTCTCTTATTCAGCTTTGCCACAGGGTTCCTTTCATTTTTTTCAACCGGACATCGATCACTTCTTGTCTAGCTTCTCGGGCACCACTTGACTTGGCATGATCTGCTTGCCTTGGGCAGTTCAGTTTCTTTCTCCAGACAGCTTCCGTGGGCTCAGAGAGTCAGACTAAAGAGAACAAACTCATGCCATAGTGGTAGGGGGGTGGGTGGGACAGTCATTTTTTTGTCTCGGGAAGAGAGACTCCAACCGGACAGGGGGTCGAAGTCTAACTTTGGTTTCCTGTGAATCTCATCCAGGTGCATAGGCAGAGATCCGCGCCAGGTGGCCCTGGTCAAAGCCCAGACGCTGCTGGAGTCCGCTGAGAAGACTGTGGAGGCGTGCAAAGTCGCGTCGGAGTGTCTTGCTGGAAGGGCGCCTGCCGGCAACAGCAGGGCAACAAAAGGAGGCCCAAGTTCTGCCATGTCTGGAAGCACCCCCCAACGAACCATATTTTTTTCCCAAAGTCCCAAAGTCCCAAAAGGGGGCCTGGCAAAGGAAAGAACCTCCGCGCGGCTCACCGGCGCAGCTGCCCGCAGTCGCCAGGAACGAGCGAGGGCCATCGCGGAGGCAGAAGCTGAGGCGAAGGTCTTCGCCGAGGCCGCGCCTTCGGGTCCGTGGGGAGCTTGCGGAAGGCTCACGTGAGCCACGTGCTCAAGGGGATTGATGAAGTGAGGGATACTTCCAACCAAAAATGGCTGGGGATGTCCGCCTTCAGAATTCTTCACGTGGTTCTGGGTAGACCGTTTCAATGCCGGGTTTTGATTTTGACTCGCTTCCTGAGTTGGGAAGACCATTTCACTGGCGAACAACCAGTTTATGTTCTTTGTTGGCCAGTCTACTGAGTCAACTGGGTGCTTTTCCAGGCCCTTTTGAATGGATATGCTTGTGTCCACCAACATATGTTCCGACTGATAGAATTGATAGCCAACTGGGCTTGGGAAGATTCTCAAAGGGTGCAATAACAAGTCCTTGTGAAAGTTGACTGACATTTTTGACAAATGCGGCTATACCATGTTTTGGAACGGTTGCTGAGATTATGTAAATGTCGAGAAGACTCCCTCCCGAGAGCCGGAGTGAGCGGGAAGCTTTGCGAGCAGCTGACCAAACTTTGATTCATCAAACAAGAAAGCAAGTATTCAAGCAAACAAGAAAGCAAACGAGCAAGCTGTCAGCAATCAAGCAGCCAAGATGTCAGGCAAGCAGACAGGCAGGTAGGCAAGCAGGCAGTCAAGCAAACGATCTGCAAGCAATCAAGCCGTCAAGAACTCAGCCAAGCAAGCAGGCAGCAGGCAAACAACCAACCAACCAACCAACCAACCAACCAACCAACCAACCAAGCAAGCAAGCAAGCAAGCAAGCAAGCAAGCAAGCAAGCAAGCAAGCAAAGAAACAAGCAAGCAAGCAAAGAAACAAGCAAGCAAGCAAAGAAACAAGCAAGCAAGCAAAGAAACAAGCAAGCCAAAAAAAGCTGTCAACAATCAAGCCGTCAAGAAACAACCGAGCAAAACAGCAAGCAAGCGAAAAGGATCGTGTCATCCACATTCGAACATTCCAAGAGCCTCCGAAGTCGTGAAGCGCGAACCACGGCGCCCTTGAGGTGCTGATGATCTTCAAGGAGCTCGAGGAGCGCAGCTCTGCGCCCAAGGAGCTTGAGCCGGAGGAGGAGCAGCTGGAGGAGAGGTTCACACCATGACCGCAAGCCGCATGCAATGGGAGAAGATCACATGAGCCAAAACAAAACCTGGGTAGATGAAGGTTAGTCTTAGCGCGGCGGGAACGCGGCGATTTGTGCGATTGCGATTTGCGATTTCTGCGAGCCCAAGGTGAATCGCAGCGATTTGGGGAATAGTAGTTAGTTTCAGGGGATATGTGCTAAGCTTGGTTGGATATGGTTGGGTGTCGAAGCAGAAAACAATTTTCATCAGGGTAAGGCAAAATGGGTTTGGGAGCGATGTTTGCTTTGTGGTTGTGGTTTGGCTGGGTAGACAGAGAGAGGCGGCAGGTGCGGCAAGGCTCTAGAAACGATTTTCGTCTGGGGAAAATGGGTTTGGGAGTGTTCCGATGTCTGCAATAGTTGCAGGCCGAAGCAGCGATTCAGAGGGCGACTGGGAATCGAGGACGATCCTTCAGACGCAAAAGCTTGTGGCTTCAGATATCAGTTTTGGCCCTTTCCCGTGCAGAGAAAGCAAAGCAATGTCAAAACCAATGCTTTCTGCGTTTCGCAATGAGAGCCCCTAAGCAGCGATTCAAAGCTAGCGATTTCAAATCGCTGCGTTTGCGATTCCCTGCTTTTAACCCACAGCGATTTGAAAACGCAGAGATTCGCGATTGCGAGTTTGCCTCGCTAAGTATTAGTAAGGGACAATGCCAACCATAAATGGCAGCCGCCCTCTTAATTCTTTACATGGCTCTGATAAGGCACATGATGGGGATAAAGTGGAGAACCATCCGAGAAAGCTTTCTCTGGGTGGTTCTTCTCCACCAACTGGGCCCGGGGTTGCTGGGAAAATGGGGGAAAGTGGGAAAGCGCTCTCTAGGTGGCCTCACCTTTTGGGCTAAGAGAGGGGACCTGTAGCGACTTGTGGAAACAGCCAGGCTCCAGGCATTTCAGCATCCATCACTCACGATACAAAGACCCATGGCTTTCCTGCAATTGCACAGGTTTGTGGCTAGATCTTTTTCTTCCGACTCCAGGCTGGCGGGTGGATGGGATACTTGTGACAAGCCAGAGTGTGTCAGAAGATCGCAGCCGCCAGAGGGAGCATTTGAGCGGCAAATCAAGAAACTGTCATGCAGCTTACGTGCGCAACCGCACTTGCGGGGTTGGAATGGTTTTGCATTTTCTTCTTTTTTCCAGCCTTGCGCTTTTTTCCCTTTTCGCCAGGAGAGACCTGCGACCTCCTTACGCTATGCGGACCTCGCAGAGCCTTCCTGCGACTGAGCCGCTTGTACTACTCGGCACCCGGTGCTCATGCATGTCTTCTGGGTTCTACGATTTTACACAAGACAATTTTCGAATAGGAGACCACAAGGGGATGGGAAACCGCCGATTTTTCCAGATTCCACTATTTCACACCCCGCGAAAAGAGATGCAATGGGCAACGCTGTGAGTAATTTCGGGTTTTGCAAGCGCAGTGCCACCCAAGGGGACTGAAGTGGCTACTGCGACCTTGCATTTGCATGGGGTCTCCACCCGCCATCCCTGGAGCTTCCGGAAGCCCGGGAAATTCGCTTGCACCAATCCGCCACGGCTGTATGTCTAGTGAAATTGCCGCTGTGCACGGGGGCCTTAGCGGGGAGCTCGTGAGTCACCCCGCAAACGTATGAACACCATTCTATTGGATGCCGGTTTGGGTCAACCTAGCAATAACTCACTTGCCCAAGGCCGATCTTTTGACCTTCTCCCCTTGTTCGTCCAGAGTCACAGCCCCAAAAGGTTGTTTCTTTCTGGGTCCTTTGGGGTGACATGAATCAGAAGTTCGCAAGCACCAAGGCATCCGTCGCTTGCTTCATCAGGCGCATGCTGGTGACCCTGGACGACCTGGCCGCTGCCTTCGAGCAAGCGGAGCGCTTGGAGAGACGTTCATGGCTTGCAGTGCTTGCAGGGGTGCTTGCTATCAAGGGTTTCCAAATGGATATGAAAAAGAGATATTTGTAAACGCCCGCCTGGGCCAGAATGCTTTTGGCTGGCTTTGATGTTCTGTGTTTGGTTTGCCTTGAAGTGTTGTGTTCGCTTGAATGAGTGAGTCGGTGCCGAAATGCGCGGGTGCATGTTATGGCCTAGATAGAGCAAGAGCCGCAGTCAGAGAGCGACAGAAGGGCAGTGGACTGGGGCCAAGCGAGGGGATATGAAAGGATGTTTGGAAGATCCCGAAGAGGTTCTGAAGGGGACCGCTTCCCGGCCCTGGGGACCGAGGTGAATAACAAAGACATGCTAAGATGAAGAAACCGGGTGGACAAGAGAAAGGAATGGTGTGTTCATTGCAAGTTTCGTCGGTCCTGGTGCTTGTGGGGGAGGCATAGATATGAACGGTGCGAGAGCCTTGCACAGAAGTTGCCCTGTGAGCATGACTGCTGTTGAACTTTGCGATTCCTTCGGCTGAGAATCCTTGCGTCTTCATCTTGGCGTGTCGAATTTCGCCCATTGCGTTTTGCCCTGGCTCAGCAATTGGTCGCCCTTATGGAACCTCTCACTGGCCATGTCTTGAGCTGAGGGCAAGAAGGCTGCGCCGCTGGAACAGTGCGGCGGCCTGTTTGGCATCCACCGAGGGGCAACCAGCGCCTGCATGCCATTTGGATGTTCAGCATCGATTCGGGGCTTTGATGAGTGGATTGAATGGGGAACCCAGCTTCGCCGGCCATGAGCAACACTTGTTCCACCAGCTACGTGTGCCTGGGAAGGCAAGTCAACTTTGCTTCACTTGCTAGTCCTTTCTATGAAAGGAGATGAATCCACCAATGAAACCCATGATTTTTCTGGCGGATTCCCAAATTTGGCAAGCATTCCCTACTGAGAACAAATAAGTTGAAGAACAGCCAACCTCACCCTTAGCTAGAACCTTGGCTTCAAATCACCCCTTTGCCCATGGCTCTTGAGGTCTTCAGGCGTGCGCAGGGCTGTGTATCAAAAGCTGGATCCTTTGAGGAAGGCTTGAAACAAACACCAACAAGACACCAGCAATTTGGCGCGGTCCCTAGTCTTGGCAAGCCCAGGCACACAACCATGAGAGTACAAACAAGCACGCAGAGAGGGGCGTTAGTGGAGAAACCAAACACAGAACACCGGCATTTGCACGAAAGCCCCATGGCTTGCAAAGCCGACATATAGAGCTTTGGTTTCCCTCCCACAATTTGAAAGGAGGGGCCCCTACTTTACATACGGAGCTAGCCATCCTCATGGTGAATCTGAACGATGTGATTGGCGAGTGCTTGTTTGCTATGGCGGGTGACATCTCAGAGGGAGCTCCCCTTAGCAATCTTTGCTTGCACAGATAAGCCTGCAAATTAGCATGGAGCCCAAAGGGGGGTCCCCTCAAAGGAGTTTTGTCTTGAAACGAAGGTTTTGTGGGTTTTGATTTGCAAGGGAGTTACACGCCCTGAAATTTCAAGGGAAGCGCCGCAGTTGAGAACTGCCAGGTGGGCTCGGGACGTGTACCGGCGGATTGCTGCCGTGCGGTTCTGAGCTCGCGGCTCGCGGTTTTGACATTTGACTTGACCCGTGGGGATTCCAGGGATGGATGGTGCCGTGAAACAACATGGAAATCGAGGGCCGAACGGTGGAATGGACCGGGTGATACGAGTGATATGTTCCACGCGTTTGGCGAGGCCCTGACGCGCATGTGCGAAAAAATGCAAAGTCACAGGGCAACAGAAGGCTGTTGACAGCTTTCGAATCAAGGAAGCAAAAAGGAAGGCAGTTGAAGCGGTCAGTGTTTTGAAAAGGCGGAAGTACGCCGACTCGAGGAAGGTGGTTGTCTCCTTTTTTTGGATCCCCCCCAAAACGGATTTCGGCGGTCCTTTCGGATTCCCTTTAAAACCACAAAAAAGGGGCTCAACGAAACGGCACAGCCACTCTGGCAGTCTGCCCAAGGCGCTGAAGCGGCAGGGCTGGACAGCCAAGGAGGTGCTTTCATTGCATGCGAGCAGCACGCATGTCAGAGAGGGATGTTCTTGGCTCCTTTTGTAGGGTACCCTGTTTGGGGTGGTTTTAAGGGAATCTAAAAGGACACCACCCATTTGTGGGTCCCCTGAACAAAAGACATACCCACGCGTTTTGACTACATACAATATATATATATATATATGTACACACAAATCGTTGTTTCTGGTTTGCCCTGGCATGTCTCCCATTTCATACTTGGAAATCTAAGTCGGCTGCAGTATGATGGTACGTCTCTGTTTTATTTTTTGTTTTTCTGGAAATCTAAATCTTGTATTTTGATGTCTGGATCCAAGAGACTTGATTGTCAAGGGGACTTGTGTCGTATGCCTGCCAAACACACACATACATACATATATACATAAATCATATGTTTATATACCTATAGTACACATATATGTATAATCTATATATATATATATAAATGTAGAATATATCTACATGTAGGAAGACAGCTTTGCACTCATATGTCTGAGGTCTGTACGTTGCATTGGTTTCTTGCCACTGCAGATCCAGCAATTTTGGACCGCAGTCCCCATCTGCAAATCCAAAAAGAAGAAGAATCCAATCCAGAGAGCATTCTGTTTGTCCATGAATCCTCATGTGCAACTCACGCCCAAAACGACCTCCATTTGCTGAATGATATTTTTTTGTTTTCCCTTGTTAAAGCAAAATTCATCACTACTGGCAATATTTTATTTTTTCCTGGGGCCTTCACCAAATTGAAGACGACAATTGTCTGGAATTGCCTGGTAAATGCAGGTGTCCACATGACAACTGGCGTCCTGGGCCAGGTCTTCGACGCAGTGGCCCAGGATCGACGGGCCCAGAAGAGCGAGTTCTTCGCACTGGCCAGGGGCTCAGGATCCAGGGCCCCAGAGGCCCCAAAGCGGTTTCAGCGAAGGCCCGTTTTTTGTGGCCAAAGTCGGCTTCCTCTTGAGAGGCCCCTGTGCCAAGCCACAGGAAAGAGAAGATGCCCCCTTTTGATAGACTCGTGATCTAAGATCATGCACTATCACGAGTCTTGAGACCAATGTGGGGTAACCCAACGAGTCAAAGGCCACTTTTCTGTTTTAGGCCCCTCGTAAAGCGCTCGTTGATTCTTGAGGTTGCTGCACAAAGTGCCAACCCGCCGTAGATCACTATATTTGGGTGTGTCTTTTTGAAGGTGCCCCTTGTTGGTGCTTTTGAAATGAACACCCACAAGGAAAACCACGACTTGCGGGGTCCAAATTCTGAAACAGACACGCGCTGAGACACCTGCGTGCATCTGTGAGCTGAGCGTGGCACTTGGAGGTCAACAGCCTGGACTTGGGTCTTCGTTCCGAGCAGCTGGACTGGCTGTGCGCGCCGCCATGCGTTTGATGTACTGCACCCTTGGATCTATTGTTTTTTGTGTTCAAACAAAATACTTCCAACATCCTAGTGTCCTAGAGGCTTGTGAAGGCCAGTCTTGCCAGACTTGGCATGTGAAGCCCTGCCTCTCATGTTTACGCGATCCAACCTGTTTGAACCAGGCAGGCGATTTGCCTCACCAAGAGCGCTGTCAAGGTTGGAGAGAATTATCGTTTTTTTTCTACTCCAATCCTGAAGGGGCTCCAATCATGGCGGCCCCTACATCTCAATCTCGCGGATTGTGTGGTGGGCGTATTCTGGCGAGGACAGATGCCGAAGTCCAGTCACGGCCCGCTGATGACTAAGCGGCGTTGCCCTGCAGCGCCAGGTGGAAACTTACCGACACGAACAGTGACGGCCTTCTCGACTACTCCGAGTTTGCGCAGCGTATCGTTGAGGTAGCGCAAACAGAGAGCACGTTGCCATTGCGACGCTTGATGGTGCAGCAACGTCACGTGTGGTCAGCTCATGGTCCTGGTGAGCAAGGAGGAACAAGTGGATGGCGATCTACCGTTTTCTTATGGTTTGTAGTGGGGGACTGATTCCAGAGGAACCGGTGAATCTGTTGATGGCGAAAAGATATAGTTGCAGCGCCAAGGGATCCTGGCATTCCGGTAGGTCACCGGCATCAGCAGCACAGCCTACCCTGTGCCCAAGCCTGAAGAGGAGCGAAACGTAAGGTTTCCGGCACACCGCTGGAGTGCCACCGGTGCTTGGGGCTGGGGTTCGATTTTGGGTGTTGTTTGGGACATTTTTCAGCTGACGAGGGGTTTTCGTTTGTGTTATCAGCTCGGATCGTTGCTTCAGAAAAGCAGAAAAAAAAGCATTCAAGAACTTGTTTTGTTGCTTTTCGAAAGCAACGAATCCAAGCTGATCCAAAAAACGAGCGTTCAAGAAGCCTTGGCCTGCTCCTTTGCCAGCGGTGCGCCAGGATGTTTTGGATCCCCCGAGCGCCACTGTCTCTGCAGCCGACGCGGCGGCGGCAATGTCAGAGGCGCCGGCGCCCGTTGGAGATGCTCCCGAGGCTACGAGTCTTGTGAATTCGCTGGCCAAAGCTTTTCACTGCAAGGAACGTGCCTCTTGATTTTTTAATGGCAAGAGTCGGTGTTTTTTTTCGGGCCTTGGCAACCATCAACTGGCAGTGCCCTTTTTGAGTGCTGCTGGTGTATACCGTGAACGCCTTCTCCCCAGGCGTGGCATGACATTTGCCTGGCGCGCATTCTCCGAGGCTGTGAGGACGCGCATAACGCAAAAGAGTCAACGCCGGGAAGCCCCAATTGGCATAGGCCTTGCAATAGCTGTGATAGCTGTGGATGTCCACAAAACGAGTCGCCAATTTGGATTCGTACTCAAAGGGATCTCTCTTTTTTGATTTTCCTTTTGGCTTCACTTCAAGACCATGAACAAGGGGTTCTGGGTTCAGCTCCGGCACGGCATATCTGCTTTTTTGGTTGGGACGTCAATCGTTTGGCAGAAATTTTCTCACGAGCTCACCCGGGTAGAAATGAGGGGGATCGATCCCTTGTTTGGGAATTGTCTTGTTATTTGCTTCAAGTTTTCACGATGGCCATACTAATTCAACCTCCCTCCCCTCGAACTGCCCTCCCCTCGCCTCGCCCCCCCTCGCCCTTCCCGATCCCTTCCCATTCCTCCCCTCACTAGGAGCTTGGCTGGAAAAGCATCGACAAGGCCGAGAGCGCTTGGGTCGCAGTTGCCAAGGTCTGAGGGCCATTGAAACAGCCCGGTTTGACAAACATCTGTGCTAAAAAGGGGGCTGCTGGGTTGGTGCACTGGGTGTAGTGGGCAAAATGGAGCATATTCTACGAGTTACCCTGTGGAATCCCAGGGGTTGTTTGCTCTGCTTTGCAAAAGGAGCTGAAAGGAGAGCATGATGGTGCCATGATTGTGAGTTTGATCCATAAGAGCTGAGGTGCACAACAAAACACCTGCGAGAGTGTTTCCTCAAGTTTTAGAAGCCCTCACCAGCCAAGTTCCGTTGTTACCTGTGGCAACAATGTGATAGCGTGAAATTTGGTACTGCGGCAACCTCCCTTGGCTGCCTATGCCCCCGACGCCATGAAACAAAGCGAGAGGTCTCCCTGCCTCGGCGGAAGACAAAGCAGGGTTTTCCTGTTGCCGTATCACTTTCGTGAAAAAAGAGTTGTGTTTCCCCCCTCTTCGAGGTTTCTACTAGATGGGTGCATGTCGTCTTTTTTTGAGGGTACCCCTGTTTTATGGTCTTCAAAGGCAAGCCAAAGCGTAAACCGAACCCCGTTTTGCGGGGCTCCAAATCCGAAAAGATGGGTTTGTCTCAAATAGGGATCCTCAAGATTCGTGGCTTTCCTTTGGTTCTTTAGCAGAACCCCCAAAAAGGCGAAACAAAAAGACGAGCCCAGATTTGTGCAGAGGGCAAACCGCGGGGCCCCAAAACCGCGGCTCGCTCCAGGCGATGGAGCAGCTGCCGGTGCGAGAGGAACCGCCTCAGTATCTCATGTTGTCTATATATATATATACACGTATAGATATTGTATATGCATGTATATATATATATACACAAATACATATATGTATGTATGCATGTATACCTGCGAGCGTGTGGTGTGTATACATAATGTCATAATGCGTCTGTGTTTTCTTCGGGTTGCAGTTGCGGTGATGAGCAGCGACAAAGTGTGAGAGCGACAAGAGTCTGAACAACAGGTTGGGCGTCATTTGTGGTTTCATGGGGTAGCTCAGAACCTTGCGAGTGAGCTTTTGCGACTCTTGGGACGGGCGCCCTCGTCACACTGTCGGCTGTAGTTCCAGGATGGCCTGGTGGCACGAGCCGAGCTGCTGGCGCCTGCGACTGAGAGACGCGTGTCGTGTCAGTGGTCAGGGGATGCGACGCGACGCCTGATGTCCAGCTGCAGAGGTTCAGCACAAGATGCAGGTCTGGGCTTTCGGACTGGGAGCTGGACAAGGCGCGATCGCTTCTTATTTCGGGTGCAAGGATGTCGGAGGCGGCACGCCCGGCTATGAAGAGGGGGATTCCGTTGAGATTGCGCCATGCCATTCGAGCGCATGCGGTGTCAGCACTTGGGAATGTTTGAAAGGACTCAAACGGGAAAGGACCTTTTGGAAGACTTTCTCTGTTGACGCGCAGCCACATGCCAGAGTCAGAGGTCTTTGCCAGACTGGATGCTGAGATGCGGGGTGCGGTGCCAAAGCGAACTGTCAGGAGCGGTATGTGCAGCTTTGTGCGTATGAGAGTGTGGCTGTGTTGATGCTGGGAATCAGCAGCCAATCGCTGGTTGATTTGCACGAGAGCATTGTTTGGCTTCGCTTTTCAAATGACTCAAAAAAGGTCCAACTCGTTTCGACACCAGTTGTCCGTTGAACACTGTTCGCCAAATGTCCAGGACGGCCCTGATGCGCTGCGACGTGTTGGAGGCTCCGGCTCAGGCGCAAAATTCAGCTCTGGAGCTTTGGAGAAGACGCGGCGCCGCAACTGTAGCCGTCCTCCACTAAGTCTAGTTGCCTTGGGGCTGTTTCCTTGGGACAGATTTGCGGACGAAACCTGCGCAGGCATCGATCCGGCAAGCCGTGGAATGCCTCGGCAAGATGCACCAGGTGCGCAGTTCAGCGTTCAACCCGTGCGGAAATGGACCAAGGCGAAGTCTGGATTGCAGAGATCAGGATCCATTGGAGCCCTTGGAAGGTGAACAGCCAAGGCTTGACCACAAGATCAAAGTCCTGGAAAAGAGGCTGAGTCGTTGCAATTGGCCCAATTGGCAGAGAAAAATGGCAGCTCCAGTAAGCAACTTGAGATTTTCGACCATCCAAGGCTTCGGGCCATGAATTGGAAAGGTTGTCAAATGGGTGGCTCGTGTTTTTTTGAGGGAACCCTTTTGGGGTTGGTTAAAAGGGAGACCAAAAGTAAACACCATTTTTGAGGTCCCCCATTTTGAAATATGCCTATGCCCTTTATGAAAGCCTTGTGGTTTACATTGGGGGGGTTTGCCATGGGTTTGCATCGCCAGGCGTTGCTGCAGTACAGGCCCGCCACGACAGAGGCGGCGTTGAGGAGCGTCTTGGTTGAGGTGGGCCCTGGGGGATTCCGGCAAAGTGGCCAGCCGGAAGGCCATAGGAATCCAAGACGCGGTGTCGCACCATGCCTATCCCTTCAATTGCTCATGGTTTTGTTCCAAAAGCAGGGGGCAGGGTTGTTCAGCACATGTTGCAGCTCTTTTACAGAGGCGCAACATAGACTTCAGACACGAGTTAACGCACAGAGCTTGCTTGTGGAGGGCGGAAATCAGGTGACGGCATTGGTTCGTTCCTTCCCCAAAAAAGGCCGCACTGGTCTTGCTCTTGGATTTCCTTGAAGTGCCCCCTCAAAAAGCACACGTGAACCCATGAACCTTGGAAGGCGGACATGATGGCTGACCCTAAAGCGTGAAGCAACATGCAGTACAGCGCCTTTGTGCACCCACCCCAAATCTTCATTTGGAGTCCCACAAAGACACGCGCGTGGAGCATGCTTTGTGATAGTGCATCTCCAGCCAGACAAAGTTTGCGCTAGCCAAGAAACTGCTTACTGGTGCAAGCTGGTTTGCTGTGCGTAAGATGTCCTGTGTTGCTTCTCTCTATATCCCAATGTGGTCGCACCGCCACGAGTTGTCTGAGGGCGAGCGCAGCAACCAACATTTCCTAAACATGACCTGCGACAAAACTAGCGGCCTTTAACCCACAGGCGCTCGCTCAAGCCACATCTGCTTTGTTTTCAGCTGGCCCTGGCAGACTCGCGCGAGTACGCCAGCATAGGAAAAGCCTATCTTCCCAGACGTCTGACACCAGGTGGCTGCCTCCCGCCAGCCGCTCCGAGTACAGCGGGAGGTGCGGACATGGGCCAAAGGGTGGGGCCCGCAACAATTGAATTGGGCCGTTTCCCTTGTTCCCCAAAAAAAGAGGGGCCCGCAACGTCCAAAATTCAGTGGCTTGAGGCGGCAAACTTCGAACTTCGCGTTGGTAGGCTTGGACATCTCCGGGTTGTGCTTGGGACACCCTCGTGTGAACACACACAATTGTCGGGAAATATGGGGGCTTCTCAACATTGTGGACCCCTTTTGGCTTGTAGGGAATCTAGCAGGAAGCTTGCTTGTGCTCAGCAGGGAATGAGGGAAGCAACCTGGGGATTCCCTTAGAGGAAACCATAAAGGATGGTTTATAAGGGTCATTCCCTCATTCCCTGCTGAGCACCAGCCAGGAAGCCGTTGCCACTTCCTACGCTGAGAAACACCCAGCTGCTGTCAGCCAGGAGCTCACCGCCGCGGCTGCCCGCTTGGGGGTCGAGAAGGCGGGGGGTGGGGGGGTTGGGAGGGTTCTAGGAATTGAGATGTGCCATGCCCAAAGTCGCTGAGCCATGTTGGCAGAATGGTTTACTAAAATGTTTTGGGGTTTGTTTATGAGATAGATGGCCACATCGTGGTTTGGCGCTGCATTTGGATTCCATGGATGCTTGGCCAAGAATGGGCTTGACCCTCTTCGAGTTTTCAGTGCCAGCGATACCCGCAACCTTCGCAGCCACACCTTGACACCGGAAACATGTAGCTCAACAGCTGCCGAGCTTTGGGGAACGCGATAATTTAGATCGAAGCCCCACATCGTCGCCTAGTTGCCGAGTTTCAAGCAGATACTGTTCAAGTTCTTTTCAAATGAATGACACACGCATGGGTTTGTTGATTGTTCTAGTCCCCTACCCTCCCTCCAACAATCATGGACGCTGAAAGAAGGATGTTGAGAGACTATCCTTTCTGGGAGCCCTTTGTCAACACGGCTGTTGGAAAGTGTGCACAAATTGACCGGTTACCCCCGAAATTTGGAGGTCCATTTCCAACGATTCTTGGAGGTTCTTCCAATGATTCTTAGCTGTTGGAGGTTCCACGTTAATGCGTAGGAGGGCTGCACAAAATTGACAGCGCGGTGGTTTGTGCCTTCGAGTCTTTGGGCCTTTGGGGCGAGTCGGGTCGGTAGGTCTGGACTGACGAGTTGTGGTTCGCAGCCCCGAAGCTGCGGGACAACTCCCTGGACATCGACTCCTTCTGCAAGCAGGTGGATGGATGTTGGGTCGAGGGATTTGGGTCAGTCTTGAGGCTACCCTTACTGGGGTTGGTTTAAGGAAATTCACGAAAGACCGCCGCGTGGGTCAAAATCGAAATTCCGGCCCCCCCCAACATGGCGGATTGGATTCCCTTTGAACCAGCCCTAAAGCATGTGACCCATCTGATGCGTCAAAAGGGCCCTGGGGTTTCTTTGAAAGCAAACTCGTTTTGAGAGACGACGACTTGGCCTTCGGAGGGCTGCAGGCAACCAGGAGGGTCAGAACGAGGTGCCCTTTTCGGCCTTGCGGGCTCGGCAATCAGATGTTCAGGTTCCCCCTAATTGGTCGTCCAGGCCACCCAAGGGGTAAGGTGAGAGGTGAGTCCACCTTCGGCCCAAAGCTGTGCTCAGCTTCGAGCCCCAACCTCATCCAACTGGTGAGAAGGGGCTGGGAAGCCTTGACCTTGCCATTGTCTGAGACACATGGTTTCATCATGTTTCATCTCCATCCAGCTTCTTTGCGGCTTCCACCGAAAGGCAATTTGCAGTGTGAAGAAATTGACCCATTCGACCCATCCAGCAGACGAATAAGGGCTGGAACGATGTGCGTAGGTGGAGCTGGCGCCCTTGCCCGGGGAGGCTGCGGACGATTCCCTATCGGACCGGAAGGGGGTTTGGGCAAAGGGTGAGGGAGGAAGCTTGGGACGGGCCTCGGATGGCCCTGGACGGGCGTGTCTTTGTTTTTAGCGGACCTTCCTTTGTGGTGTTTGAAGCCGCAAAGAAGGGGAACCTCCAAAAACGACACGCCCGGATAGCCATGGAGGCGAACAGCTTGGGGGCTTCGCAAAATCGCTTTTGGGGCTTGCCCTTTGAACTACCTGTTGGAGAGCAAAATGGAGGTGTCACTTTAAATGGACCCATGATCCATGCATTGCAAAGGGCTGGGTCGGCGCTCAAGCCCTCAACCGGCAAGATGCCATGCCGAGAGAGGATCGTAGCACCATGCCACCGTAGAGACCGAAATGACTTGGCGTACAGATGAGGAGCAGGCCCATCTGAGCCACCATCAAAACACGGGTAGATGAAGGTTAGTAAGGGACAATCCCAACCATAAATAGCTGCGGCCGCCTTCTTGATTCTTTACATGGTTCTGGGTCGACCATTTTAATACCGGGTTTTGACTCATCTGCCATGCGCGAAGTAAAAACGGGCCAAGTCGGCTGGGCCAAGTCGGCTGGGCCAAGTCGGGGCCTTGAGGACGAGCATGCGGCCATCCTCATGGGCCGCCTGGGGAAGGCCATCCAGCGCTTCGGAGGTGCCGAGAAGGTGGGCTCGTAGGAGTTTTCAGCTAAAAAACGAGTCGTGGCCTTTCGCGACAATAGGACCCCCCCTTCTTAAGGTAGAGTCCTTTCAAACAAAAGAAACACCATTTTAGGCCACCCAGTACGTCAAAGATGCGTCACAGGCACGAAAACGCAAACGCGTGATGCTGCAGTGTGAATCTGGGGATCCAGAGGCGCTGTTGCGATGTCTGGAGAAGCCACGCCCATGCCTTTGTGGAATGCAGGCTTTCCACACGTTCCAGACCGGGACGGACGGATGCAGTGCACTCAAGACGCACTGCTCGGTTAGATGGTCCAGGGAAGCCCAAAGGAGATCCAGGATTTTGAGAAGAGGAGCCCAAAAAGAGATCAACCATGACTTACGTACATGAGTTACGTACTTGCGCGTCCTGTTTCCGGTGTTCAAAGCGAACCCAAAGGAACCCTACCATTGCTTAGGGGTCCCCCAAATGATATAAAAGGCACTCACCACGTGGGGGTCCTATTCCTGGTGTCGAAAAAGGCACACAGATGACAACCGACCATTGTATGTAGTGTTCCTAATCTGCTTGACACAGAACATGATGCGCTTGAAACAGAACACACCTCACGGCAACAAGTACTTCGGAATCGATTCAGGTGTTGAAGGAATCCAACCATTGCTTCGGGGCCCTTTGGGATTGGTCGTTCTAGGAAAACACATCTTTCTGAGGTCCTACAAGTTGATAGGGGGACCCAAAGAAGAACAAGTATTGCTTGCAGCTCCTATGTGTGTTGAAGGGACCCCGAAGGAAAGCCATCATTTTGCGAACCTATCTCAGGTGCTGAAAGAGAAGGCACCGCCAATCATGAAGGGCTGGGCTCCAATTTGTCATTTGGATGGCTGTTTTTTTTGGAGTTACCCGTTTTATTCCTCGATTTTAAAGGGACACCGAAAGGAAGACCGTTGCGCCATTTTGGGGGTTTCGTGGGCAGTCCAAGGTCTTTCCCGCGCGGAAATGGAAGCTGCCATCGCCGATATCACCAAGGATCCGTGACTTCTTGACCTACCCGGCCAACCCGAAATCAACCGATTTGGAGAAGGCTGATGCTCTTTCTTTGGGCCAACCAAGCTTTGTCGCAGGGAACCCTAGGAGACTGTAAGTCCATGGTCGCTGAATGGTTCGGGTCGCCCTTTTCAGTAGTATTAGGATTAACTTCTTCAAAGGTTAGGTCTACTTGGTCGTCAACTTCAATTTGGAAAACGAGCAGGTATCGACGAATTGACTCAATCATCCCTGCTCCTCCGGGGGGTATCTGGGCTCATTAGGGAGGGGTTCCACTTAGTCCCAAGTGGACGGTGGCGCGGTTGATGCAGGATCTCTTCTCCGCCCACGAGCGGAGCTTGGTGGTCCGCAGGCTCCAAGCCTCTCCTGTTTTGCTTGGGATTGATCACTTTTCAATAATCAACGAGGGGGGTTATTCATCTGGGGTTAACTTGGGGTTAACATTCCGAGTAAAAAAGGACAGAATGGGAGGCTGGGAAAATGTCCATCCTCTTCGGGATCCCCTTTCAAACTGGCACGCAAACCTGATTGTGACAACCCACCTGAGCAACGGTCTAGCAATTCATTCTTTGCTGCAAAGGGTATGATGGGGCTATCCCTCCACTCATGAGAATTCCCCACCAACAAATGGAGTCCTCCTCAAAGCCAGACACTTCGCTTTGCTTCATGTCAAAAAGGAGGCAGTTCAATCATTAAACAAGCGGGTGCGCTGGCGTGCTCGCTGGCGCGCTCGCTTAAAAGGACATCTCGTTTTCCATGGCCAAGACTTGCCAGGATGGACGCAAACAGCGACGGCCGAATCAGCCTCAAGGAGTTGGAGATGGTGGGCGGTCTCAGAGATCTGGAGGGTCTCACTCTGAGAGCCGGATCTACCACTGCTTTCGGAATTGGAAGCCCCTTTGTACTTCGTGAACGCACCTGTGGACAGAATTGTGGTTGATAGGGATGGCCAGGAATCCTTTGCAAGGCTGTAAGGATTTGAGGCAAAGCAGGAAACAAGGATGGCTACTGATCAAAAGGGGCGCCCAATCCTTGACCGCTGTATTTGGAAAGGAATCAAGGGTTGGCGCCTAAGGCTGTGGCAGGTGCTGCTGTCTCTGCCATTGCCCCATCCTCAGTGTGAGAACTTGCAAGACTTGGAGCGCAGAGCCAGTCCCCCTCCCGGGTGCTGCGATGCAAGCTCCATTTGACAAAATTCGCTCAGACATTGAACACATGTTTGTTTGTTTGTTTCTTTTGTTTTGCTTGTTTGTTTGTTTGTTTGTTCGTTCGTTCGTTCGTTCGTTTGTTCGTTCGTGTGTTTGCTTGTTCGTTTGTTTGTTTGTTTGATTGTTTGTTCGTTCGTTTGTTTGTTTGTTTGTTTGTTTGTTTGTTTGTTTGTTTGCTTTGTTTGCTTGTTTGTTTGCTCGTTCGTTCGTTCGTTCGTTTGCTTGCTTGTTTGTTTCTTTGTTTGTTTGTTTGTTTGTTTGTTTGGTTTGTTTGCTTGTTCGTTTGTTTGTCGTTTGTTTGTTTGTTTGCTTGTTCGTTTGTTTGTCTGTGTGCGCGTTGTTTTTGGATCATGGCGGGTTGACTACTATTGTTTGATCTTTTGTGCCCGCAGCTTTCCTTGACCGCGCACAAACGGACGGCGCGGAGCTGATGCCGAGGCTCTTGGCAGCTGGGCAGAAGACATCTGCGCCCGAGTCTTTCAGGCAGAAAGCAAATCCAGCACAACATGGGTGTCCAGCAAAAAGCCCTCCAAATCCTTCCCACCACACAAGTGGTCTGAAAAGGAAAAGGATCGTCTGAAAACCGAGGGCCCCGCCTTTTCCCCGTGGGGCCATTGTCGGGACACCGCCCGAGTCTGGCGGGTGAAGCTGAGGTCATTGAGGTCGTGTAGCGGTTGAATATGGATATGTGTCAATGTGTTTTCGCGGAACTGGCAGCATCGTTTTGTTGCGAATGCTTGCCCAGCAAGCAGCCCCCTGGTCTAATATAAAGAGAGGCCGTGCTGAACACCAGCGATTTTCTTGCCATTTGAGTTGGTTTACCAACTTGGTGTTGAAAGGGAAATCGGCAGGACCACGCAAACCCGGCATCTTCTTTTTGTTCTCCGTTTCTTTGCCTCTTCCGATTCTTTCTTTTTTTGAGGGGGTCTTCCCTTTTTTCTTTGAGGGGCGGGGAAGCGGGGAAGCGGGGAATGGGGCGTTGGCTGGGCGAGTTGGACAGCCAGTTCTGTGGGCTCGCGGCGGGGGAGGCGTTGCAGCGGGAGGGCCGCAGTGTGGACCAGCTCTTCGAGGCCCTGGCAGGCGCAGATGGCCCATGTGTGGTAGGGCTCCCAAGTTATACGTGTTGAACCCGCGACCTGGTTGCCCACTTGTTTTTTTGTTTTTTTTTTTTTGTTTTTGTTTTTTTTTTGGGGGGGGGAAACCAGGTTGCTTTTCTTTTTTTGGGGGGGAGGGGGAACCAGGTTGCCACTTTTTTTGGGGGGGAGGGGGAACCAGGTTGCCACTTTTTTTGGGGGGGAGGGGGGGGGGGATCAGGCTCGGCGCCCGCAAAAAGGATAGAGAACCAGATTTCAGTCGCAAGGTTTCAAAGTTTCGGGCCCCCGTGTGGCTCTCAGGAGCGGTAAGTTGCCATGGAAGGTAGCTCAGTCAGCCTGCTTATGGTGTGCTGGGAGTGTTTGGCCGTTGTTGTGACCACCTTTCACTCCCGTTCGCTTGGCTAGTTTGCTTTGCCTGGAGGCAGCAAGACTGGGCGTCCGGAGATTTATTGGCCAGACTTCCGGGCCCTTTTCTCCCAGTGCCGTCCTGAGTCCAATGTGCTGTCCAGTTGAAGCAAAGGGGGGAGGTTCGATCACTTCCAAAACCACTTATGGGAGCTTCTGCAAATGGACCCCCTTTTGGTTGGTATGGGAAGGGAACACCAGCCGTCACCAGCCATTGTAGGACCCCTGGGCTGCTGTCACCTAAACGTATGGAACTCCTCTTAGAGATGCAACAATCGTGCACCAAAAGGCTTTGTCTCAAAATTTGGGAACCCCCGCAAAATGCTGGTTCCCTTCGGCTTCCCTTTCAAACAATGCCAAAAGGGCGCCAACTCAAAAAAAGACGGACCCAAAACCCGCAAAACAAACGCCATTATTTTAAATTTGAGACACACCCACTGGCTATGGGATTGAGGTTGGACCCATCGCTGACGGACGGCCAGCTGAGACGCCTTTGGCAGAACTTCGTACGCCTGGCATGTCGGGCGCAACAGGCAACCGCTTTTTTGGGGTCGGGACCCCCAAAAATGAAAAACATGTTGGTGTTGTGCAGGTTTTCCTTTAAAAGCGACCAACAGGGGGCTGCCAAGGCTTTGGTTTTCCTTAGGAAATGACCAACGACACCGCAGGCTCCTAGGGTGTTTTGCCAAATCACACGATTGGCAGTTGCTGCTAGTAACGTAGCCAATCCAAAGCCAAAGCTCAAACCCAGCAGGAAATTTCCAACAGCAAATAGAAGACGCCTTTGAATTCCGACAGAGTTAGGTATCCTTCCTCCCACTAACATAGCACCCGTGGGCGGGTACCTGGAAGATCAGATTCCTCTTGTAGAGACCCCCTGTCAGGTGCTATGTTAGTGGGAGTGAGGGTATCCTTATTCCCCCGGTTTAGGCATACGTCTCGTAGAAAGCCCCAGGACAAGAACGGCGATGGAGGCGTCTCTCGCGAAGAGTTCCACAGAGCCCTGGAGCCGCATCGAGAAGTACCGACCTCAGAGCCCCAGGCCTCGCAGCGATCCATCGGTCACGCGGGGCCCGTGGGGCCCCTCGAGCATGCTGAAATATTTGCCTGTGCAAGGTCACATAGGGGCACTGAAGCTTGTGTAATTTTGTGTAATTTCGGCATGGTTGTGAGCATGTGTGCCTATGCACGCGGATGACGGAATCTGTGTTAAGCGTATTCGCATGGTCAGGTAGTATACCTCAAACATTTGGCCTGCAGCATTGACTCTTGGTTCGTTACAACTTGGTGTTGGTTTGCCTTGCGCCTGGCAGCAATCGCATGCCTTAACTGTGAAAGTCGAACCAATGGTCCGGTTTATAGCCCCAAATTGTAGGACACCCCGAAGATGCTTCATGAGGAGCCGTCCCCCCACTTCTTCCCCCCCTCCCGCCCCAGACCCAAAATCCCGAGGTGGCTGCGGTTCCGGACGCCTCGGAGACGGTGGCGCCGGTGCCAGTGCTGCTGAGCCGCGGGGGGCTGAAGCGTGGAGTTGTGGGTGTTCAACAAGTGGCTGTGGGTCAAAAAGAGGTGCCCAAAATGGAACCCTGTTAAATGGACCAAGCCTGGTGGTATCATTTTGACCCATACCCAAGTTGCAGTCAGAGGATGCCCTTGGCAGATACCCTCCGATTGGCGAGCGAGCTCTGAGGCATCGCGCGTGCCCTTGGCCAGGGAAGGCTGTCCGTGGCACAAGCGCTCTCTGCCGGCTCCTGAGACGTGCTAACCCCTTGGGTTTGACCAAACTCGCAAGCAACCCCACGTGATCCGACGAAGGGGTGAAAGGGATGGCTTCTGGGAAGGACAGTGCAGCAGCGCAAGTGAACCTCCTGAGTTTTTCTCAAAGGAAACTTGGGCCCGCTTGTGTAAAGCGATTTTTAAAAGTTCCCCTACGGGGATGCAATGTGCCTGGCCCCCTCACCCAGCGCAATGTGGCGTACCCAAATTTTGGGACCCCTTGTTGATGCTGTGTAGCCACTATTAAGTGAGACCAAAAAGAAGCCACCGGTTTTTATGGGCATCCCAACTTTTGGAACCCCCAATCAAGACAGGGAGTGCAAGCCACTTCCCCACCCTGGTTTGCTGGTTGCTTGGGCTTGCTGTGGGCTAGGGGGTGGGGGGACTTCCCGGAAACTGTGGGGAATGGTGGCAAACAAAATGATTCTGTGCCGTTGCCACAGCCATTCGCGAAGCTCAAAGACTTCCCTCTCAACTTGATGTTAGACTTTCAAATGAAGAGCGTCACCTTTCCGTCAGCTGGACTCGATCTGCCCATCATTAATGGACATGTTAAGGTTGCCACCGTCAAGCTTCCCAATATCGTTGCCACTAAGACCTACCTTACAGTCGCGTTTTGATAGCCTCATTTTCAGGTGGGAGCCCTTGGGGAGGCTTCAAGCCGCTTCCCTCACTTGCTGTACTTGCAGTGCCCGGACCCCGCTGAACAGGCCTCAAGCCGCTTCCCTCGGCTCTACTCCAAGTGTGCCTCTGAGGTCTACAGCCGCGGAGTGGTGGGCCTCACTTTGGAGGCCTGGCTGGACGCCGTGCGCGGCCTGCCGCTGCCGCTGGCGCGCTGGGAGGCGGGGAGCGCGCCAGAGCGCCTGGACGGGGCGCGGGACGGGTGGATGGCGTGTTGGAGTCTTGGATTCCTGGGCAAAAAAAGAATGGGTTGTTTTGGGGTTTGGGCTCAGAGTGGCTAGGTGTCCATGGCGGGGTGATGGGGACTTCCCGAAAAGAAGTTGCTGTGAGGAAGGGTTGGGGTCAGGCCTGA